AMYTTTTTTTTTATTTTTGAATTTCTAGCTTCGGTGCAATCGATGTTAACGTATTTTTCAAGTTTTTGTTTTTTATACCCTGAACAGTGTATATTATTTGTCTCATAAGTTTGTAACAACCAGAAGAAAGCGTCGGAGACCCTATTAAGTATAAATATATAAATAATCAGTATGTTCAGCTGAGTCGATTTAGCCATGTCCGTCTGTCTGYCTGTCTGTCTGTCCGTCCGTCTGTATATATACGCACTAGTCCCTCAGTTCTTAAGTTATCGTTTTGAAATTGTGCAAACGTCATTTTCTCTTCAAGAAGCTGCTCATTTGTCGGAACTGCCGTTATCGGACCACTAAACATATAGCTGCCATTCAAACTGAACGATCGGAAAAAAGTTCTTGTATGGAAAACTTTTGCATTTGACAAGATATATTCACAGAATTCGGTATAGATTATTTTCTAAGGCAACAATGTAATCTCCGAAGAAATTGTTCAGATCAGCTTACTATAGCATATAGCTGCCATACAAACTGAACGATCGGAAAAAAGTTCTTGTATGGAAAACTTTTGTATTTGACGTGGTACCTTCACGAAATTTGACATGGATTACTGCTTAAGGTAATAACATAATCTCCGAAAGAATTGTTCAGATCGGATTACTATAGCATATAGCTGCCATATAAACTGAACACATAGTTACTAAAAGAAATGCACTTGTGAAGGGTATACTAGCTTTGGTGCAGCCGAAGTTAATGTGTTTTCTCGTTATTATTTTATTTCATTTTTTAATTACACTTTCCGTCTACTTTCTGAAGATATGCGCTTGTTGCAGTCGATAATTATCACTTGTCGGAAATTTGGACACCAAATCAAAATGTTGCCATACTTAAAGGCAGCATTTACTTCCATCTAAATCCACGCTTGTGCTTGTCTAAAATACGTGAACTGCAAAAGTCCTTAAAAAGCGCCGCACCSATTACTACGGTGAATGCGTCGCCACACTCAAATGGCGAGCGTGTGATTTGTAAGTATACATATATGTATTTTTAATTTTTCCTTATTATTTCAAATATTTAATGTTCTTTTTTTTTTACATTTCATTTGCAGGCAACAATCCCATAACTAATTTTACAGTTACACTTGAGGATTACAATTCTACAGCTGCGCGCCTGAAAATAGACATATTCACTCTGAATAATATACAAATTATACTTGGCTATGTGTATTACTATAAGGAAACGCCGGTGCAAAATGTGACACTCTACGACGGAAGGCATGGTTGCGGTCATGATAAGTTCGTATATGCTTTTGAAGAATATGCTTTCACATTTTTATGCATACAAATTATCTAAAAATATRTTTATTGATTTACTCTCATTGATTTCAAACTAATAAACGCTTTAAACTCGACAAATATTATTTTTTTAATATCAACAATTTCAAACATAATCTCACTTTTCCGCAGCTGGCACATGAAAGTAAACCCCACAAAAAATATCCGTTACATCATTACCAATTTGAAACCGTACACACAATACGCTTACTTCGTCAAAACGCTCACGATGACCGATTATCATATACGCATGGATGCATATTCGAAAATACAATATTTCCGCACACTACCGAGTAAACCGGGACCGGTGAAGAGAATCTATTACACAGCGATTGCTATGGACAAAATAGTAAGTAGATTAAAGAATAGCATATTATCCGCACGTATAATGAGTTTGTTTTTTTATTTTATATTTTATAAAGGTTTTACACTGGTGGCCACCACGCAAACCGAATGGCATTATCGAAAAGTACATAATTAATTTAACTAATTATGAAAAGTCAAAGATCGCGAAAGATAGTAAAGCAGTATTTCTTATAAACAAATCATATTTCTTTAAATATTTTACTTACATTTMCAGATGTGACATTAGGTAATTATCGGGAGTTGCGTAAATATTCGCCGTCCTGTGATTGTGTCTTTGAAAATCCAGAGGATAGTGGACCTTTACCATCGGATGAAAACTATTATCGCAGGGAACAAATCATTTATGAAGAAACTTTGCCTAATTTGATTTTTGTATCGTAAGTAGCAGGAAAAAGTCTAGTCTACTTATTTCATATATTTTTCTTACCTTTCATTTCTACCTTTTAGTCGTAGGATAGACAATGTTCGTGTACGCCGTAATGCTGACACTAACCACTTGAATGGAAATACAAATTGTATTGGCAGAGAATCGTTAGTCACACCAAATACGATCAATTCTTATCTGGATAACGCATCTAAACATATACGCGTAACACGCAAAATAGCAGATAGTGAGGCCAAATCCAAGGATAATAATAATAATAAACTGGAAGAGCAAATGAATAAAGATGACCACGATCTTGAAGAAGAACAGCGCAAACGTGGTGAAGCCAGCCTTCTTTGGATAATTCATCAACAGGAAGAACAAGCACGCAGGTTGCAGGATACGGGCCCAGATGATTTTCCAATTATCAAGCGTCGACCAGTCTGTCCGATACCAGATGCGTCGACGCAATATCAATTGCAAAACAATTGCCGGCCACTGGAAATATACAAAGGTATCGTAACACCGGGTAACATACACTCATACACGTTGACTGATCTGGAGCCCGAGCAAACGTATCGCATAACAATACGCGCTTGTGTCGCCAATTTACCGAATGGTTGTGGCGACGAAACAAGTATTTTTGCAGAGACTGTTAGCAAGAGTATGGAAGAGTTCCTAGRGGGTTTAAGAATATTTGATTAATATCAGTTTCACGCAGTTGTAGTTGTATTATTGTAATGATTAATAAATTGAAATTTAATAATAATTGCTTACATTTAGTTTTCAATGGTTTGAAGTAATTTCTCAAATAATTTACAATTTCCGCCAATGCGTCGATAGTGCCGTATCTCATATCTGTATATGATGCCACCTTGTCTATTTCGCAGTTTACTAAATATTTCMAATTCTGTAAACAAGAAAGACAGTGCTAGGAAACGAAATAATATATAAAGTATTAAAACAAAGACTAAAATTTGAGAAAATTATTTTTTAAAAGAGTGACTTATAAGTAGAGAACGTGCATTAATACWTTTTCGCTGTTATAAGAAAATATGGAAATGTTTACGAAATACATATATGAAGTAGATAAAGCAGCGCTTGCTGTTATTTGTTGTGTGACAATATACGTATGTGACTGCTTTTGGCAACCCTACAATTGGCGATTTTTCAGTAGGAGAAAAAGTGTCAAAGTAAGTGCAAGTGTGTAAAGTTTATTTCCTACATAATTGATTTTTCTTCAAAAATACTGCGTTCAATTATAAAGTCAATTTGTGTTGCTAAATTATTATTGAGTTTTAAGTTAATGAAATTACGCAATCTTACTATAAATTAAAAYACAAACGTGTATATTATGTGCAATATATAGTTAGTACGTCATCACTGACGCTGRCAAACGTCAATGAAGTTGAAGCCCATTTGCGCAGGACCATCTTGTCCAATTAAGCATATGTGTATTTTTTTTTTCACAAAATTCATAAGATATGTATGTGTAATCAAGTGTTATAAGAATTCATTAGTTTAAATGCCTGATTGTTTATTGTTTAAGAATGAAAAGGTAACCATAATGTAAATAAGTTCAAAAATAGCACAGCCAGRCAAGTGTGGAAAATATCAAAATTCGCAACGAAAGCGCTCAAGGTTTAATTGACTGCTTAGAAATTTATTAATATTAATTAAATAAATTACCAGTATAGCAAAGCAAAATTAATAATAGCGAGAGAAAAAGAAAATAACAAGATCAATCGTGAAATTCTTTAAGCACAATTGAACTGTATGCTTGTTAAATGCTGTTGGTGTACAATATAATTGGAATAATTTTTTTAACGAAACAAATATTGAATTATGAAACWGTTTACACAAAGTACATGGTGTTATGGATATCCCACGTATACCCATTTTTTATTGCAAGTGTCTTACCTTGGATATAYRTATGTATGTATTAATTTGCTTAGCACTTATTGTTAAAAGAAAATTTTTTAGAACAACGTAATGATAACACTAGTGGAGTCCATTTTAAAGTAAACTTTGAGTTAGGTCATTTTATCCATACAACTTTTAATGACTGAACTGCTTAAAATTTATGTTTTTAAAAAATCTTATTTTTTCTTTCCGTTTTAATTTCCAATAAAAAATATTAGAACCCACAAAGAAAAGGAATAAAAATTAAATCGTCCTGGAGATTGTGCTATTGATATTTTAAATAACTTCGCCAACAACATATTTCGCTGGCAATGAAATGAGCATCAACATAAATACAAAATTTCTTATATGATAAAAAAATCCATATTCAAACCAATGACTTAAAAAATCTTATAAAGTTTATTTGCGATGACATTAACATAAACTTAAAAAGAAAAACAGCTAATGCTGCTTCTTTTTATCATAAAGCACGTTTATTATATTTAAAGCGGAAAACAAAATATTTCCGCAATTTTTGCCTATCMTTTATATTATCAGCATATCATCAAAAAAATTCGTATTTGAGTTTGTTATTAATAATGTTTTACTATATCCCATTACATAAATTTGTTTATGTACAAATTTCAAGGTTCTGTTATCAAAAGTAGAGTTTGTTATTAAGGGGTGTGAAAGTAACAAAAAAAAAAAAACATTTTTTCATATTTTTATAGTTTATTCTAAAATTTAAATCGATATCTTAAATAATTTTTGTGTTACAAACATTTAAATGATAGCGCTCAGTTCAATCAGTTGCATACGTTTATTTTTAAATTCGTTTTTCTCGAAAAAGCATTTTTTTTAATTTGCTGCAGTGATAACTCAAAAACAAATTRTATATTATTTTACATACCTATCGAKTTTTTCATCTGATCAAATCAACAAAATTTTGAAAAAAATGCACCTTTTTTTTTTTAAACGCCGACATTTGTCAATTTTTACGGATAATATCTTCTAGTTTTAATATTAAAATTTCATCCACGGAGAATCACTGCAACAGTGAAGGACGGTTTTTTTAGCGCCATCTCGTATAACTCAAAAGATATACACATTTTTCAAAAATTTCACTGTGTTTTTGAAACAGGTTAAAATATATGCTGAAGATTTCAAAAAAAATCGATAAAGTAGATTTTTTAATTCCAAAAATCGATGTTTTTTCATAAACTTTTTCCCCTTAAAATAATTATTATGGAATATAGTTGAATAATATATAATCAAATATTTATTTATAATAAATGGCGTATAACTTTAAGATAAAATGTTGAATTAGTTATCAGTATATGCTTATTAACTGCCGCCTAGATAGTTTAAAAATTTACATTTTAGAACAAAACAAAAATTAGAAGCGATAACTTAACGACCAAACCAAGTATAAGTAGCAAGAAAATTAGCAAATTTATCACAGATAGGACTAAACAAAATGMCACGTCATTTTAGAAGGGCCCTTAATGCGTTTTCTATAAATATATTAAGAACAAATAACAGATTTTATCTTGACGTATTTGTATTTGTGCTGCAATTAAACGCTTTAGAAACCTGTTTCTAGCAAATTTACTTTTCTATGTRTTGCAATTGTTGTTGTTTTGTGTTTAGTCAGCCGGTGCTTAACTTGTTTTGCACATATTCGTGAGACTAAATGAGTTTATTTCCCAACTTAGAATGTTTTTTATGAATATGTACAAATATGTGTGTGCAGGCAATGCCCCTGACTTTAATTCATACATTACTTGTGTTCATTTAATTGCGTGCTATTACAATTTCGATATCACATTGAATTGCGATAAGAGAAAATCATTGCAATAATGCACGGATTTCTATAGAATAAATAACATAAGGTGATAATTCGGGTGGTGGAGCACGGTGCTCGCTCGTTCCGTAGATGTGGTTGACCGTGGGGAAACGATCGGCGCAAATGATTCCACAACTGTGTTACGGTCAACGATTGCAGTCGGAAAGTCTGCCGAATTGCGTTGCTGCAGCGTGTTACGAACAAATATACAACCAACAGTTCTAAGTAACCGGAACGAACCGGGATTATTAACCGAAACTGTCAATTCGACACCATGACTCGAGGTTACTGCAGTAATGTTTTCTACCATCTTAACAATTACACAAAGCGTGTCACACGAGCACGAGCAGTACGCTCTCCTCGTCGTCCTTTCGCCTACGAAAATGATTTGAATGACAAAAGAGTCCTCGTGTGAACCCAGTCGTCTGCTAAGACTGCATACTAGATTGCTTGCCAATCAACTGAAATATATACACATTCATCTCTACAAAGTAAATAAATGAGTACATATTATAAAAATATCATTGTTTAACTTGAAGCGACGTGACCGCCTCCTTATTATGGTGCCATAACATTGTCAGCACATGGTCAAAATGCCTGCTAACTCATGCATAAATTATCACAATAAAGAAGTTATGTGCTGATGCTATCACGGCAGACGTTATCATGTCAAGTCTATGCTTATCTTCAGTTTTAACTTATACATACATATGTATGCATACTAAATACGCAAAGTACAATATGTTTTCTTTTAACGATACCAAATACTAATATGCGCTTGCAATCTTTTTTCATTTCGTTACAGTTGCTCGCCGCAATTAGACTTATAACGCGAAGCAGTGCTTCATCATAGTACAGAAAATCTTAGCAAATTTGTTTGTAAACTGTGATATAACACGTGGAAAAAGTATTAGGTCTCTACAATACACACACACACACATCCACATTTATCTAACCCCGAAACTGATAAAAACAAACACGCCAAAATATGTCGCAGAATCAGTCATATTTTTGGCAAACCACCAAACATAATGTCTTTCTGAAACGTTCGGCCAGATTACAAATGCTAATAGCGCTTATGGCCGTGCTAACGTTCTCCACCATATGTCAGGCGGAGGTGGCACGTAAGGAAATTGAGGACAATGTTGCCACATTAAGTGCACCAAGCGTGAGTAACGAATTGCCGCATTATTAATAAATTTCTTAAATATAAATTAATCATTTATATTTATTATTATTATTATTTTTTCTATAAAAAGGTTTTCCCCGATGACAGACAGTACGTAAAAGATGCCATAAATGGAAATGCAGCAAATGATTTAAATGAAGCGGACGCCACCAAAGAGCCAAAAACGAATTCCGGCTTTATCGATGCGTTCTCAGCATCGATATCAGTGATATTATTTACTGAATTAGGTGATAAGACTTTCTTCATTGCTGCCATCATGGCGATGCGCCATCCGCGCTTAATCGTCTTTGCTGGCGCCATATCAGCGCTGGCGCTGATGACCGTACTCTCGGTGGTGTTTGGCATGGCAGCTACCATTATTCCTAAGGTTTATACATATTATATCTCAACGGCGTTGTTTGCCATATTCGGTTTGAAAATGATCTACGAAGGCTACTTCATGAAGGACAGCGATGCGCAGGAGGAGTTAGAAGAGGTGCAATCGACTTTGCGTAAACGTGAGGACGAGGTAAGTCTGTTAATAAGCAATTCAATCAACAAATGTGTTTAGCAATATAGCTGTACAATTGTTGTTTTTTTTTTTTTTTTCTTTGCATATCCTCAATATTTGAATATTTGTTAAACGTGTAGTTACAACACCTTTTGAATTTGTTATTTATTTTAGCTGGCTTCTGAGCTTTATCATTTCTCTTTTATAAATCCCTTTAGTGAATTATGCACTGCTTCTACATTCTACTTTTTATAACACTTTTCTTTTTTTTATATTTACTTTCAAAACATATTCTATGTATTTTTCTTATGATTTATGTAGTAACGGTTGAAAATGCAAACC